CCCCAAAACCCCAAAACCCCAAAACCCCATGAGTTAAGAATATGTTTAAAATATAGACAACTTATGGAGAGGGGGTTATGTATATTAGATTTTGAGAATTAATAATTAAAAGTAAGTCTTGATTGTTTTGAGCAACAAAAGTAATGTCACTCAATTTTAAATTTCCTCTCATTTGCATGTGCTTTCAGGCACTAAAGAGATATTTGCTATCTATAATTATTCTAGCTCATTAGAATTTAGGCTAATTTGATTGCTGCTGTAATGTCTGATTCAGCTACTATTGCTATTAAGGCAAGGATGTTTAGGATAATTAGTTCATTAGCTATTGATTGGGTTGTTGCATTTAAAGATTAGGCATCTAAGTAGAGCTACCCATTTGCATCATATTAAGCTATTAAGATGAAAGGCTGAATTGATTTTATGGAGCAATGAATTATTAGAAGTTGCTTCCGACACTTAGTGATGATCCCATAAACTGTAATGGATCGTACATCTACTATTATCCTTCAAGTAGGAATTATGATTGAATATCTTAAAACTGATTATTGGAGATCGGGTGAGATATTTGATTCATGGCTGGATTCAAATACTTTTATTAATGAAGTGGTAAAGTAGTGTAGGTTGGTTGGTTTCCGTTCCCTCCACTGGTATTGATTTGCTAGTTTGGTAATGTAATATTTGTTTGAGATTGTAATTGTTGCTGCTATAACGGCAACTACTGACTTTGATTTGAAAATGTAATTTGTTTGTACTTTCTTAATGGTAAAAACATACTATTCTCCCCATAAGCGATCTCTAAATCATCAGAGAAGTATCCAAGATCATACCATGTAGCCATTTGCTGATAAGTAAATGGTCCTCTGACGTTTCCTAGTGGATCCTTGTAAAACCATTTGCCATCTTGTTGTTAATTTGGCGATCTCGACATTAAAAAGCTGATGCCTTATCCGACCGCAAATGGATTTTAAATCATTGCAGCAACTTATGTTCCCTAAAACTATTGTAGCCCTCCTAGATCCTAATGAGATAAGTTTGTTTATTGATATAAATTTAGAGGGTCCTTAATGCCTTGAGAGTTTGCTCCTTGCACACGTAATATCTACTGGCTAAAGGGTTATTAGAATTCATTGTTGAATTAGTAATTGACATTTTGTTTTTACATAAACTGGCCTTAATTTACAGATGTGAGAGTCATGTTGCTTAAAGGAGAGGAATTTCCTCCCATAAATTTCTGATTTATCTATTCCTAGATCAATAGTTGCTGATAAGCTTAATTGTTTTATGTTAATGTGGCAATATCTTGGTTAGGATTCATTCTTTACATCAAATCTTGGAGAAATAAAAGTTCTTATTCTTAAGGGCTGAGCTGGCTGAGCATTTTTTACTGACCCAATAATTATTGATTCATCTGCTACGATAAATGCTACTGGCTAGATACTTATTGCTAAGGAATCTACTCTTTCGGTTTAATGCTGATTATTGCCTCATCTTATTCGACGATAGTTTAGGGAGAGATCAACTCCTTTTCAGATGATTTTGGTGAGGGCTTTTTAATTGGAAGCTACGAAGATTCAACCTTGATTTCTTCAACGTCTATATCATCCCATAATGGATCTTCCTCTTCTTCAATTGGTGTATCTTATTGCTACCCAGGATCCCCTAGATCCATGTTCTCACAATTCAGGAAATAATCCACATTGGTTGTTCTAACAACCCTACCTCTATCCTGATTATCTTAGCGATTTTGTCTTTCCTTGATACTTTATGCTGTCTCTCCAAGTCTGAGCTTTTCTAATTCTTTCTGAATTAATGGCATATCTCTTTCAATAATTCTTCCAAGCTAAAATTTCTTTTTCGAAAAATCATCATCCCACATGCCATCTTGATTATTTTAATATTGATTCTAATATTATGGTCTCTTGGGATCCTGATATCTTAAACTTTTGAAGCTATCATCTTAGGTTTCATCGCCCTATTTCTTCTAAAACTACTATTACCTCTAGTCATAATCCTTATTCTTATACTAGCCACTGTTGTCATCATATTATCTGGAATTATTAGATTTCAAACTGTTTTATCCATTATATCCTCCATAATTACCCTATTTCCTGCTAGGACTCTGCCTATTACTATTGCTGTAATTTTCGTTCTTATTTTAGTACTATGATTGACTTTAACCTCCATAGTTGTCTTGTTTGGTGAAACTCTCTCTTCTCTGAGATTAAACATTTCCTTGGTTTCCACCTTATCCACCTCCTCCTGCACTACTATATGAGCTTTAAACTCCTCGCATATCTAATCCACTATTTTTAAAAGACTCTGGTTCCAGAGCTTAATAGCTAAGTAGAGCCTTAATATTGTTTAAGCCTGAATTCTTTTCAATTATCGTAAGTAATTCTTCATTTTGGCAAATCCTACAGACAGAAAGTAATGTGTCTCTGGATAAAATCTTTCTTTTAGTTGCTTTTCATTCGATATCGACCTTCTTCACATACTATGCATTTTTTCCTATAGATAATTAAGTCGCGAGGACACTTACTTCGGTTCTGTGATGATGGATCCTGCGGGTAATATGATTTATCTTAGGATTGGTTGTGCTAATGCCCTTGCATGTTTAACTTCAAACTAACTCTCACTTTATATTATTAATATAGATATCGATTTCATTAACATTAAGAGAATTTTTATAATAGTTTAAATTAAATGGAGAATTTTACCGAAGACGATATAAAGTATCTTGCTTACACTCTCTTGACAATGACTTTGATTGGTCTATAATGCACTATTGTACCAATTGTAATTGTTAGTAAAGCAAGAAGAAAGTACTTCACTTAGAATTTTATGGACTAATTCCTGCAAGCACCCACAACTGATGGAGAAGACATCAATGAGCCAATCTTGCCAGCAAAAGGAGGATATCCCGATATGGGAAGTGGAAGATATACTGAGAAGCTAGAGTACAGCCAATGGTATGAATACAATAATGCCTAAAGAGTGCATCTCAATTTCGTAGAGTAACTACCTCTTATCTAAGCTCTCATATTCATTACTGCTCTTAAAACTCCTCTTGCAGCACTAATTTTATCAATTACGTATTTCGTTCTTAGATTAGTGTACGCTGTTGGATATGCCGCTAAAGGTCCAAATTTCAGAGGTTTTGGAGCAGTCCCTATTCTCTTGTGCCTGGTTATCCTATTTGGATTCTCTTTCTACACTTGTGGAGACTATATGAAGCATTACAATGATACTAGTGTCACCCCACCTGTCCAAAGTGTTGACGGTCAGATTATTAAATTGTGAAAACAAATTGACTTGGCATCTGAATACCTAAATACGATATTTCCTTAACTATCTAAAACACATCATTTTCAATTTACGGGGTTTTGGGGTTTTGGGGTTTTGGGG